GGGTAAAGACAATTTTTTTAAAAACTTAATCCTTTTTAAGAAGCCATTTATGTTTTAGTTCCTTTAGCTCTTGTTCTCTTTTCAAGTTATGAATCAGAAATATCTCCTATTTCTTATTTTTTCTCATTGCTTTTCCTATTACTTTCTTATATTGTTGAAATTTTTTGAGGTAAATTTCTATGTAGATCTCAAGTTTTGCAAATGCACACATCTATGTAACCCCCCTCAAGATATATAACATAATCAGCACCCCAGAAAGGTGCTATGTGCCCCTTTTTCTAGTCAATTCTCCATTCCTGAGAAAATTACTGATCTAATTTATATTATTTTAGATAATTTTGCCTATTCCGGATTTCATGTAAGTGGAATGAATTCTTTTGGGTCTGGTTCCCTTCATACAACATATTTGAGATTCATCCATGTTGCAACTATGAAGAACTTGTTCCTTTCTATTGCTGGGTACTGTCCATTGTGAGAATGTATCACTGTTTATCCATCCTTCTGTTGATGAACACCTGAGATGGTTCCAGTTTTGGCTCTTAAGTATATTTCTCTTTTGAAAAACTCAAGATTTTTCTCCATTCATATGAAATATTGACAGTGTTAAAATAGTTTAATCCATAAAAAGGAACCATGGAAGTATAGTTGATGTATAAGCAGTAGCTGCTAAAAAAAAAAAAAAGTTAATGAGGTAAAACATAGTTGGGGTTCCTTACGTTCTTCTAAATTTAGTTATATGTTTTTCTTCCCATTTTGGGGGGAGGAGGTTGAAGGGTTGTTGCTGTATGACTAAGACACCACTGACTCCTCCATTAGTGGGACATTCATATTGGACATACTTGCCAATGGAGAATTGTTAGCGGCACTGATAAATCGGTGGTGTTCCATCTGCACTTTTTCCCATGCCCTTGAGTTCAATGGCACATTGGAATTGATGAGGTTAGTGTGTGTGGTCCAACATCATGGCAAAGTCAAAGTGGAGAAACCTCACTCTCATCATGCCTGAACTGCCACTATACTCACATAAAGGGGTGTTGTTCTTCCCTTTACTTGTAACTTTACTTCTCATCTCCTACTTAAACAAGGCAATAAGCAGCAGCTGGATGAGTGGGACAAAAAAGGACCACTTCCCTAGCAGAGCCCTAGAGAGATCTGGGGGAGGGGGCAAAATGTAGAAGGAATCTATGGTCTGCATCTCAGGGAGGCAGGACCAGAGTTGCACAATGACACACCAGTGGACAGCATCGCAAAGATGCCTATGGCTCAAGTCCAGGACCAGCAGAACATCTTCCATGCCCTCAAGCCAGGTTCAAAACGGAGCTACCACCCTGAAGGAGTGCTTAGGACAGGGACAAAGGCTGTCTGTGTGGACTAGTCACCAAGGACTAGATGAGATAATGGAGGACTCAGTGAATATCTGCAAGAACAGATTACTGGAGACCAGAGGTGCATCCTCACCCTACCCTTGCTTTTGTATTAATAAGCCCGCTGAAACTTAGCTACACGATAAGAAAAATAGAAGAGGGCAAGCCAGAGTTGACCAAAATTAAGTTTCCACTAACGTGGTAAAAGGGGAATAATAAAAAGAAATTAAGTTGGGTTACGAAGGAATAAAGATTTATTTTTCTGATACCCAAGTTTATGGACAGAATTCATAACTACTACACTCGCAAAAGCATAAACAATTTCCAGAAGGACTCACAAAAACTGTTACCCCAGTTGATGCTTCTGGAGAAAAAGAATAAAGTTCCAATGTGGGATGAAGGCTTATTTTTATTTTTCATAATTTTTGATTACTTGAACTTTTCACAAAGTAAATTTCTTAATTTTTAAATCAATTCAAATACTTAACTGAGTAGACAATGCATTCAATACTGAGTTGATGTGAAAAGTTTCTTGTTTCTATTCCAACAGCCATCAAACACTTGAATTGTAACTTAGCTGATACCTTCATTCATAATAACAGTAACACTGTTTTATGTTCCTTGTTTCTTATGTACAGTCATTTGTACATGAGATAACAATTCTGAATATGAAAGAATTACATGAAATAGAAAAGTTGATTTCATTGGTGAAGTTATTGGAAGCAAATAAGTCATGAGTGATTTCCCTTTTAAACTTATCTACCTCCCCAACATTGCAGAGATATAACTTTAGTTTCTTAATTTCTCCTCTTGCTTGTCCATAAAAATTACAAATTAAATAACGCATATGAAGCTTTTAGAACCCCGTGGGAGAAACATGCTCTATAAGTAACACATTTTTCTCTTGAGACAAATTATTTGGTGATGTCTTGAGCTGTGAGAATTTGGCCCAAAGCAGCACACCAGGTGCTTTGCTTCTGTCTGGTGGTATGTGGCAGTGGGTAGAGACAGAGTCAGCAGCAAGGATTCTCTCTTCCACATTGCCACAAAGCTGCACTGGGTTTCTGATTCTCCTCTAGGGTAAAGAGAGTCAAAGACAATATTATAAGGGATGGAACTCATGTGACAAAATGTGTACCAAGAAAGTAGAGACTTCGGGAGGGTAAAAACTGCCTATAAGTTTCCAAAACAAAGCAGAGCTTCATTACTTTACTGAAAATATTTCACTGGGATATCTGATTTTACTGGGTGTTGGTTTCTGGCTTTAGGAAGCTTATGTTTATTTCTAAGGGGTTCAAGGCATCTAATATCCTCTTTATTTCCTCCTCTATGATTCTGCTACAATGCTATTTTCATTAATATGTGTTCCATAGATTACATAATACATACATATTTAAATTGGTATTTGTTTATCACTCAAATGCAATGAAGGAAAACTTGGGAACTCAGTTAAATAAATTAGCTTATGACTATTTTAATATTAATGATTTTGTAAATCATATTTGGGCATAGAAGAGACACTAGTCCAATGTATAAATACATCACAGGAAAGAACTAACCTGTATTGAGCACCTACAATACACCAGGCATAGTGCCAGACCCTTTCATACTCATCAAACTTTGAAGTAATGCTTTAAGGACAGTATTTGCCTCACTTTTATGGCAAGGAAATGGAGCTCAGAGAAGTGAAGCAGTTTTTTGCTTTTCTCCAGGTACCCAGTTGGCAAGTGGCTTGCTCAAGAGTCAAACCAGACTGGCCTGATCTCAGAGCCTCCGCCACCTCTTGTTCAACAAAGTAACCTCTGAAGTAATGAAAGCTTCATAGGTTTCTTTTTCTTTTCTCTCTCTGTCTCCCTCTTTTTTAATCTTAAAGAGGCTAAGTGAAGGAGATTGTGGGCAGTAAGGGAGAAAGTAAAATTACACTGACATATATTTGATAGAAGACAGAAGTACTTGACTTTTTAAGGTAAAAAAGGTTTTTTTTTTTTTTAAAAAAAAAAAGTAGGAAAAACCATAGCTTAAGTAAAAGGGACACAAAATCCATAACTTTGGTCAAGAAAGCACATACCAGATCAGTCATGAAAATGGGTGAAGCAAAATCAATCACATTTTATTGATTTTAAAAACAACAGAATTTGAACCACATAAAAGTCACATTTTATATTTGTCAAGAAAGCTCACTGAAGGAAATGAATTAGCTTGACAGAAATGAACTTGCCTTGAAAGAAACAAATCATCTGATAACATCTATATTAATGGAATATAAAAATGCCAAATGTCAGGAGAAGTAGAGAATTTTTCCTGGGTAAAAGTAGTGCTTAGAAAGGTTTTTATTTGCCTTTTCTTAATAAAGATTTCCAATTTATTTTAGGAAATGTATACTTAGGGAATATTCATAAAGAAGTAGAGTTCTGTTGATAAATTCTTTCTTTAAATGGCATATAATTTATGAAACTTTATGACTAGACTTTCTGTCTAGCCTGATATTATCTTTTTCTATATTTATAGTATAGATCTATATTTCCTTCTAGAAAAGATATAAAAGTTCCTTGCCTAATATTAAAGCCCCAACACTTTCTCCCATCTATATGTTATCTTCGACTCTCAGGTCAAGGGCCACTTTCTCCAAGAAACTCCCATTAGGGTTGTCTCTCCCTTTTGGAATTCCTCCAGTACGTGTTATTTGTTCCCCTCTAATCACATGTGAGGATGTCTATCCTGGATTACAAGCTTTTAAAAAAATGTATTTTTAGTGTCTCCTCTACTAAACTATGAGCTACTTGTGAGAATCATATCTCTTTTTAATTTACTACATAAATAAAAATAATTACTGCTAAATATCTGTTAAAACAGTGAAAATAAACAGAACAGGAATGAATATCATACACTGACATTCAAGGATGAAACAGTTATTCTCCTTTTTAGTCTTGAGTACTGCTGTGATTTCAGTTGTAACTTGAAAATTTACATTAGAGTGTCTAATTTATCTTGAACTCTTCACTGTCCATAAAAAGGTTTAGTATCACAGAAAATCCAAATTCAGATATTGTTCCAAATTATGCAGACTATAGTTCTGGGTCATCAGACTTACTCCTTCAAAGTCAGCAAAAATGTAACAAATTGCCAACAAATTCAATATCCATATATGTATTCAACAAGATTTTAATGAGTTATGGTTCATTATTTATTTGTCCTCGAAAATCCCATGCACTTAGCCTTTGAAGGAGAGACTGGAATATAAATAATGAGGTGACCCAATAACTTAGCAATTATTTGGAAGTATAACTCAAATCAATTGTCATTTCAGATAAACCATTTCCCTTCTATCATTTGACATAAATGGAATTATTAGACACATGATAGCATAATGTTTTCTATGTAAAGATCTTGTAAAACTGAAAAAAGAATCCAGCCACACCCATGGCTTTGAGGAGCACCTAGATTCAGTTCTTAAAGAAGTCAAGTAATAGGTATCATGTGTAGTCTACATTAAGCCCAGTTCCACAGTTTAACAATCCTCACTGATACCTTAGCACTAAAGAGCAATTCAATTTTAAGTAACTGCTCCTTAAGGGAGCAGTCAGCATCATTCTTTGCATTAAACAAACCGCAGTGAGGCATATTCCTGTAACTTACCATATATTTGGATTTAATTCCAGTTGGTGATAGGAGTCAAAGTCATCTCGTAGGATGATGCTGTCACTATGTATTTCAGCTAAAAGAAAAAGAAAGCATTTAGGAAGGAATTATATACTACAACGGTAAATTTAGCTAAACAAAAGTGTCAACATGCTACATTTATGAAGAGTCACAGTATTTTAAATTAAAACTGAATTTTAAATGAGCAGTTCGTTATATTTATTTTGTCCCTAAACTACTAAGGGACAAGAGCAAAGGCTCTGCTGTGTCGATATCTAGAAGTCCAAAAACCAGAGCCCCTGAAGAGAGGCCTACCAAACTGTCACCGGGCAGGAGAGGCAGGAAGGCCCAGGTCGGCACCAAGCTACAAGTAGAGGCCACACAGGACTTGTCCCTCACATTTCAGCACATACTCATCCATGGCTTCCAACAGACCACCCAGACAGATTCGGTGTCTAACTCACTTTAAAGCATGGACGTGTACAGAACATTCTGGCTATTTATTGTTAGCTAAAGTTGCCGTAATTTACTGATCCATTTTTTCTTCTCTTTCCTCCCATCACTCTTGCCCTGGATTGCTTTCTCTCATTCCCTGTATTCATTCATTTTTTATTTAATGCGTTTTAAATTGTTAACTTTTTTTCTCTCAGAAGCGCATAGGAGAAATTATATGAGTAACTAAAATTGCCAAATAAAGTCAATTTAGAAGTCAGGAGGAATGCCAGGGAACATTACATGGTTTTAAATATATTATCGATACACTTGAGATTATATGAAATACCTATTTTTAAGCACTAAAAGAACTTTGGGCATGTCAAAAGAAAAGAATATTTTCATAAACTGTATAGGACATATTTCCACTGAATAGAGGGTAAACAAGTAAAAATAATTTCATGGCAGCTACAATCTGTGTGTGATCATTTTTAAGGTTGTGTGAGAAACAATAATTGTTTCTACTCAAGTTGTAAAAATTAATTTAGTACTTTATAAACAACCCTTTCATCCGATTCCTATGGTTTTCTTAGGAAGTTTGTTTTAGTTAATATAAATTCTTTGGACCTTTACAATTTTGTTTGAACTAGCTAACTGATGCCTTTTGGAAAAATTAAAATCATATTATCTGATTAACAACCAAAAAAAAAGCCAGAATGTTTTTTTAAAGGTGGTATTTCATGTTTTTTGGGCTCACTCAAATATATTATAATTCTCTGAACTCACTGGGTAATTAAAATCACTTCCAAATACGAGGAAGCATACTTTCACATTCTCTTTGGTGACATCCTCACCTATGGCAGTCCTTGCCCCCTTTATACCAGGTATGCCAGCAGGCAAGCACATAGTGAACCATGGAAACCAGTGAATCAGCATGTATTGAGGGGACTGGATGCTCAGGCTCGAAGCCTTAGGCATGAGAACAGGGAGAATATGAATACGCACTGGAGAGAACACTGTGAGGTATTCTGTGCATGGGAGTGGTTTAATGATTCCTCTGAGCGATTAGATGCAGTGCCTGCAAGCCTACAGGGTACAGCTCTCTCCGTTCCCCAGTCTGGCTGAGACTTGGCTGGGCCACCGCGGGTCACCAGCCTGTCTTGGCTGCCAGAAGGCATGCTTCTAAGCACTTACATTCATCTGCCAAATAAGAGGAGCCCCAAGCTGTAGCATTACATAAAAGTAAAGCTTCTCAAGGCAGAGTTTCCAAAGAGAAAAATAAATTAATTGGGTTTATAGGTTGAAAGGAAAAGCCCAAGAGACAAATAGCTGACCTATCTGGAAGTCCCACAGTGAGAGACATGTGAAAAGACTGCAACCAGCTAGGATGATTTCTTTTCAATCTCATTAAATAGTATAATGTAGAAAACTGCTTTTAAAATAGGTCTTCACTGACACAAATGAGAAACTTAACCCTTAGAGATCACTTGTTTTAGAGACTTTTTTTTTAACAAAGGCAATGGGTAAGCCTCACTGGTTATTTCTTCGTGTATTTATTTATTTCCAAAGACAATTGTATCATTTACTATACACTTTATAAATACAAATTCATTTAATCCTCATATCAACCCTATGAGGTAGGTACTACTATTAATGCTATTTTACAAATGAGGAAACTGAGGCAGAGAGAGGTTAAGTAACTTGCTCAGTGTCATATATCCAGCAAGTGGTGAAGGTGAGATAAACCCAGGCAGTTTGGCTCCAGCATCTGTATTCTTAACCACTACGCAACCCTGCCTCAAGAACTGTGGACCACTAAGTACCTGACACTATGAAAAAAACATGGTGCCATTTTAAAAAGCGGATTTAAACAGTCTAATTCCAAGTTTTAAAGAGATACCCAAATTGTTTCTCTTTTTACAACTGAGTACTAATTTGAGCAGAAAATTCAAATCTGCAGTGATCTCAATTCTTCCACATTCATAGCTCCTTATCCAGTGCCGCTATGCCCTAGTATTTATGATAGGTAGGAGCTCTGGGGAAAATTCAGCATTAGAACACGAAAGGTCACACTCAACAGGATCCCAGGGATGAGGGTCCCAACAGGTACAAAAGTCCCTGCACAGGCCCCTAGCTGGGCAGCATGATCACTTCTTCAGGAGGTTCTGTGTTCAAGCATAATCTGTACCTTAGTCTAATTTCAGTGAATGATCAACAAATCAGAGAGGAGAGAGACTTTTCTTACCTCTATCACATCTGCTCACATAGCCAGAAGAGTAAAACAGGAGATCAAGTACTAAGGTTAATGATATCAGAGTCTTAAACACTTACCTAGATGTGGGTGCGTAGTGGCCTCTGTTGGAGCTGAACCAAGAGAGGAAAGGGGAAAGATGATTGATTAGTAACAAAAGCAAAGTCCAGTAATAAACAATCACAAATATAGTTACAAAACTTACGTCACACTAAACAAATAAAATGGCTAGAGACTTTTTAGTTTTTCTAGGAGTAAGAAAAAAATGCTAATAAACATCCTAAAATATGATAGCCAATTCTGTTTATTAAAAGTAATGGATTTCTCCTACAATGAAGAGTAGAACCACTTACACATGGGACAGTTATTTACTATACAGGTTTAGTCAGATATCCCTTGAAGCACATAATATAAATGTGATGAGACAGTTAATGGATAGGCCAAAACCCTTTCTGAGCACCCATTACATGCCAGGAACTGTGCCTGGCATTAGGGAAATAGACAAGAAGCATGGTCCATGCCCTCGAGGAGCTGGTGTGGAAAATTACAATATGGGGTAAGTGTTATGTGATGTTCAGAGGGTGCTGGGGTGAGCTGGGGACAAAGGAGTGATGCTAACTCCAGGCAGACTAGAGGTGTCCAGAGAAGTTTCCAGGGAAGATTATTTCTCTGCTGAATTTTGAAAGAATAGTAGAAGGAAAACAGGTGGAGGTGGGGGAGGGGAGAGAGGCTTCTTTCTGGAGTAAAAGTGGAATGGCACAGAGAAATAAGAGAGAATGGCCTTTTGGGAGAAGCATAACAACTTCAGCATGACTGGATGAACGTTTAAGAGGAAATAGTAGAAAGAGTGAAGTTGAATATATAAGGAGGAGATCATGAAATTGAACGCTAAGGCATTTGGACTTTACCATAAAAGCATGATGATCTCCTGAACATGTATGAGCAAAGGAATGGCATGTTCAAATAAGCATTTTTTTAAAAGGGCACTCTGGAAGAGTATGGAGATAAAGGACACTGCCCAATAAGACTTTGGTTAGGTTTTTTCACCCAAAGCATTTTTAAATCTATGAAGAAGTATCAACTCAATATCTAAAAATCAGAATTCAATACATAGATATTTTTAAGGCTTTTATATCTTTCAAAGAAGAATTTCAGCTAGATATGGAAAAAAATTAGTTCTCTCACAACAGGCAGTGCTTCAGCTATGTTGGATTAAAAATCTAGACTTAGCATTTTAAAAAAAGAGACTGATATTTGTCATTATTTCATATCAACATATTACACATATTAAAATAGTTGTGCACAGTTTTTTGAAGCTGACTCTATGGAACATGTGATGGATACAGTGTGAAAATCTTTTAGTATGTGCACACAAATGCTCTGAATCATCATCAGTTTAAGGAACTCTTAAAAAAAACAGAAGACAACAAATTTAATAATTTTATACTTTGTGCCAATGCTTATTGGTTAAGTCATAGAAGAGTTTTACAAAGATTCAATGAACTGTTAATTCTAATTAAAGATTTTCTTAACACAAAAGAAATACTTGCCAATTATCTAATAATCAATGACAAAAACCTGCTATAATGATGCATGTTCTCACATCAATATCACAATGCATATGAACAAGCTAAATTTTAAGCATCAAGGAAAGCAAAAGTTTATTTGCAAACTAGCTGGAAAAGTAAGAAAATTTATGTTGAAATTAAAACTTCCAAAATACAAATCAATAATGATTTTATACATTTTCCTAACATGACTCAATTTCCAGAAGATTTTAACTGTGATTCCCAACATTTTATAAATTGTCTGCAAAAAGAAACTACAAGAACAATTTGAAGAATATCTTGTTGATGTTCATATAATAATTTTAGAGTTGCTTTTCAATTTGTGCAGTATCTGTGAATTCCATGTTAATATTACCAGGTTGAAACAAGAATAATACTTGGACAGATATAGTTTGAAACTGGTATGTTTTTGAATCAAAGTAAATCAGTTCTTCTAAATGAAATGGACAAATTTTGTCAAGGAGGACAGAGAATTAAGAGGAATGAACAAAGCCTACAAGAAATACTGCATTATGTAAAACGGCCAAATATAAGAACCATAGGAATCCCTGAGGGTGAAAAAGAAAATGCACGAGGGCTGGAGAATCTATTTGAGGGAATAGTTCAGGAAAACTTCCTTGGTCTTGCTAGAGGTTTAGACATCCAGGTACAAGAAGCTCAAGGAACACGAGGGAGATTCATCCCAAAGAGGCAATCACCAAGAAACGTGTCATCAGACTGGCCAAAGTCAACAGGAAGGAGGAATTCCTGCAAACCATGAGGCGAAAACATCAAGTAACTTACAAGAGAAAACCCATCAGGCTAACTACAGACTTCTCAACTGAGACTTCACAAGCCAAAGGGATTGGGGTCCCATCACCAGTCTTCTTAAACAGAACAACTGGCAGCTTAGAATTTTCTACACTGCAAAACTAAGTTTCATATATGAAGGAGAAATAAAGACATTTCCAGAGAAGCAAACACTGAGGTAATTTCTCAAGACCAGACCTGCCCTGCAAGAAATACTCAGAGCTGCATTATACATGATCAGCATAATAGAACACCAGTGTAAATCCACCCAAAATCAAAAGCTCAGAGCTCACATAAAACAATAGCACAAGAGGTGAAACAAAGCAATAAGGTACTACCCAACAGGGTAAACAGAATGGCATCCCACGTATCAATTCTATCAATCAATGTAAACAGTTTAAATGTTCCACTCAAGAGACATGGGCTGGCTGAATGGATGAAAAAATGTAACCCAAGTACCTGCTGCCTCCAGGAAACACATCTTGCCCAAAAGGAAAACAGTATGGAGATTCCTCAAAGAACTAAAAGTAGACCTACCATTTGATCCAGCAATCCCACTACTGGGTATTTGCCCAAAGGAAAAGAAATCATTTTATCAAAAAGACACATGCGCTCGAATATTTATTGCAGCACAATTCACAATTGCAAAGATGTGGAATCAACCCAAGTGCCCATCAATTCATGAGTGGATTAACAAAATGTGGTATATAGAATACTACCCAGCCATGAAGGATGAATTAAGGCTTTTTGCAACAGTTTGAATGGAACTGGAGACCATTATCTTAAGTAAAGTACCTAAATAATGGAAAAACAAACACCACATGTACTCATTATTAAATGGGAACTAACCAATGAACACACATGTGCACAGAGGGAAGTAAAACTCAGTGGAAATCAAGCAGGGGGAAGCGGGGAGAAGGGAATTGGTGAAAGCCTACCTAATAGGTACAATGAACACATCTGGGTGATGGGCACACTTATAACTCTGACTCAAGCATAAGAAAAGCAATCCATGTAACCTAAAACATTTGTACCCCCGTAATATTTTGAAATAATAAAAAAAAGTAAAAGCAAGCTAACAGAATGTAGCAATTATGATAGAATCTAACGAAAGCCACCATCTTTTTTCAAAAGCCTGTTTCCAGCAAAAGTTTAAGAATAAAAGCATTTGCATCCCCTTAATATTTTCATATAAAAAAATTAAAAAGAAATAATGAGAGCATGGCATACTTTGACTTGAGTTTAGTTAAAAAAGCCAAACTCATTTAAAGCTAGCAATACAAATTGGTAGCAATTTTTACTAGGAAAATATTGATAAATATTGAAATATCAATATTGAAAATATTGATAAATGAAAATTTACTTAATTTAATTAGTAAAATCTCTCCTGAGAGCAGTTAAGAAAAAAATGGAAACTTAAAAATTTCAAGCATAATGCTATCTCTTAATATTATACAGATAAATAAATGTTCTTATGAGTGTCTAAATTGTTCATAAACGTGTAATCATTTCTTTTTCTAGACTCCTTTTAATGTTCATGGCAGTGTATCTTAAAAATTATTTGTCCTCAAAATTCTCTCTCCAGTGGGACCTACCCAGATTATTTGTTTTGGCAGAATACAAAGATTTAGAGCAGTAATGAAATGCTTTAGTGACATTCTAAGTCTTTCCTTAGCTGGGCGTTTTCCCAGATGCTGGAGTAGTATTAAGTAACCTGAAGATTAAGTATATGTTTTACTAAGATTTCATAGATTATGCAAAGACGACAAGAATGGATTTTTAAAATTAATAAGCTAATATGTTGAGAATAAAAGAAACCTGAAACAGTGTTTTTAGAAGGTACTTTAAAATTTGTTTGAAAAAATATATTGCTTGTAGAACTTCCTTTCTATTCAGCTGCGCTATTCTTGAAATGATTTATTAATCACCATCAATTAGCATGAAACAGAAACTAGAACTGCCTTGAATGAATACAAGAACTTTGTACTAATGCAGATTTGATAAAGACAATTATGGAAAAAAATAGTGGAGGTGAATGATTATTATATGAAATAGTCATGAGAAGACCCAATTCATATCAAGACAAGCAATTCACATCACAAGGACTGAGTGCGCCTAACATGACAATTAAGTAAATTCAGTACCAAAATTTTCAAAGGAATAACATGCTCCTTGGGCTCTTTAAACAAGGTTACTATTTATTTGTTTAAAATCAAAGTAGAAAAAGTGCATACTGGCACATTTTTGAGTAAATGATGAAAAGAACTTAGCTCATATATGTTAACACATCTGTGTGTTGGTGATGGTTCTAGCATCACAAAGTAGGAGGTCTTTTCCTAAAAAAAAGTTTATTTTGTGGGAGAGGATGGAAATTTTTCTTTAAAAGCCCACTATTTTCCACTCAGTGTGAATTAACCTGACCTTCCTTGAGGTATAAGAACCACTTATTGCTCCCTTCCCAAACTTTTAAGCACAACTAATGTACTGCTTGTCATTACATAGTTACTTTGTGAATATAACCTTTCATTTACCAAATATATTTTATACATTATCTCCAATTATTTAGAGCATCTCACAGATTATAATGAGTAATTTATCCTTATGACACTGCCATTAGTCAAGAGAGCACTAGCTGAGCTCTGCAGATAGACATGGAAGTTAGAACATCTCTGTAAACTGAAATAGGAAGCAAACACCTCCAATTCCATATTGGCTTCTATGATTTCATTTGTATTTTGGTGCTCAGAGTCATACTT